GGGCTGGGGATTTAGCTCAGCGGTATAAGCACCTGCCTTGGAAGCATGCAGTTGTGAGTTTAATCCCTGGTACCAATAAAAAGTTTTTTTCCCACAATGCCAAGGCCACAGAGGAGGAGGGCAGAGGGAGTGAATCTTTCTACAGCATCCAGTTTTAGCTCTGTGAAATTTAAAAGTCCTGGAGAGCTGTGTTATGATGATGCGAATGTGCTTCCTGGGTCAACAGTACCCTCACAAATTGTCACCGTGGTCATTTTTTTTTTAAAAAACACAATTTAAACAATTTACATTTTCTTTTGCAGACAAAAACATCCAGCCTGACTTCCAGCCTTGCTTTGTGGGAAGCCCAGTTTCCAGGGGTCCTCAGCTGAGCACTAATACTTGCTCTGTAGGCAGCTTCTTGTTGTAACTCCACTGTTGCCAATTTGACCTTAAAAATATTCTCAGCATAGAACAGCGCACAAGATCCCCACCAAATAGCACTGTCATCAAGGAGGCAGCAGGACTCAGGGAACTAGAGTCCCTGGCTCAGAGTTTAGTAACTGAATCTGACAAATTAGAATAACACTCATCGAAGGAGATGCTGTTAATCTTCTCAGAGAGAAGGAGCCTCTCTCCTGGAGGTTTCTAATTGCTAGCTATTATTCGTTCAAGTGCAATTTGCAGGACTGAAGGTCATGGGTCCAGCTGGCTGTCCCCCCTCCCCCCAGGGTTTTGGGGTGCTTCCCCTCTGAACCTCCACTTGTACTGCTATTTCCAACACCCCCACTGAAAATACTTGGGAAAGGCCAGTTGGAAGCTTAGCTTGTGACCCAGGAAGGGACCAAGAAATTGTCAATTTGCTTCATGAATGGGGAGACTGAGATGTATGAATTTCCTGCTGCCGTTGGAAGAAATAAGCACAATTTAGTTGCTTAGAACACAAATTGATTCTCTTGTGGTTCTGTAGGCCAGAGTCCGATGTGGTTCTCCCTGGATTCAAACCAGCACATCGGTAGCCTAAGCTCCTTCCTAGAGGCTCTGGGGAGAAACTACTGCTTCCTAGGACTCACCCCTGTGCTTTAGGGGCCCCAGCTTCCTCTCTTCATCTTTTTTTGTACTGGGGATCGAACTTGCATTTACCACGTAAGCTCTTGAACCGCTGAGCTAAATTCCCAGCCCCTTCTTCATCTCCAAAGCCAGCAAAACCACATCTGGCAGACCCTTCCTCAACAGCCAGAGCCCTCTGATGTCAGTCTGAAATGATCTCCAGCCATACTAAAGTAAGAATAGAACCCAAGGGGCTGGGAATTTAGCTCAGCGGCATAAGTGTCTGCCTTGCAAGCAGGTGGTTGTTTGATCCCTGGTACTGATAAAAATGAAAAAGACCAAAAAAGAATAGAACCCAAGGCCTCACTCATGCTGGGCAAGTGCTCTGCCATTGAGACCTTTTAAAAAATTTTCTATTTTGAGACTAGATCTAGCTAAATGGCCCAGGCTGGCCTTGAATTTGCAATCTTCCTGCCTCAGCCTCCTGTGTGACTGGGATTACCGATGTACGCGCCACAGCCTGCTAAGATTCTCCATTTTAAGGACTCTTGTGATTCTAGAGGACCCCGCCAGATAATCCAGGGTGATCTCCCATCCCAAGGGCTTTAACTGGATCACATCTGCAAGCTTCTGCCATAGATGGTAACAAGACCTTCTGATGATTGGGAAGGGGACGTCTTTGGGGATCGGAATAGAGGAATTCACCGCTGGTAGGATTCAGGCCTCAAGCATCTCCTCCAAAGCCTCCCTGCGTTCAGAGGTGGGGCTTTCAGGAGGTTGACTGGATAATGGGTCGCCACACTCACACCCGAATACACTGCTGGGAGGCAGAGCAAGGACAGGAGAGGCAGTTGCTGGGGGTGTGGCCTATACGGCCCCTCCCATACCCCACCCTCTCGTGACTCCACCCTCCCGTGGCCCTGGCCCTCCAGGCCTCTCCTCATTCTTTTTTTTTTTTTTTTTTTTGGTCTTTTTCTTTTTTATCGGTACCGGGGATCAAACTCACAACTGCCTGCTTGCAAGGCAGGTGCTTATGCCGCTGAGCTAAATCCCCAGCCCCATTTCTTCCCTCATTCTTTCTAGCTGCTGGACCGTGACCCTGTTTTTCAGCTACGCCTGTCCAGTCCACCGTGCTCTTCTTGCCTTGGAGCCAGCCGACCGTAGCCTGAAAACCTGAATCAAAAGAAATCTCTTCTCCAAGTTATATTTTGTAGGTGATGTGATTCCTTACTTGGGAAACTCAAAAATATCAGCTATTACTACAAAAAATAATAGAAGCAGAAGGATAGTGGGATTTAAAATAATATACAGAGCGCAAAGGCCTTCACATAGACACCAGAAGATAAAGCTAGGAGATATAATGGGAGAGAAAAAACCCGGAGAGCTTCACGTACCCATAGGCCAGGCCCTGGGTTTCAGAACCTTGTTACAGACTTGGTTAGGAGGTAAGGCCTGATTGGAGGAGGCTGTCACTGGGGGCGTGTCTCCCTTCCTGGCCCCTCCCTTCATACCCTGCTTCCTGTGCATCATGCAGTGAGCGGCTTCCTCTGCCACGCCTCCCTGCCTCGGAACCAGCCCGCTATGGACTGGAACTTTCTAACGCTGTGCTGTGCACGCTAATTAGAATCACCCCCTTGTAGACATACTTGGGACTAACTGCAGCTGTCTGTGTGAAGACTCAGATGAAGAACTGACAAATGCTGACTGCCTACCTCCAGGATGTGTGCCCATGTGCAACAGGGTGTGGGTGAAATGTTACCACGAAGTCAGAGGTGAGCAGGAACCCCAGCGTTTCCCAGGAAGTCCAGGGTTTTCCTGTAAGTCCACAATACCCAGTGTCCTTTTATCCCAGATCTCTGCTGCTAGACTCAATGTGGAGCTGATATCTTAACTTACACTGCTTTAAATTTAGATTTCAAAATGGTTTCTCTGTTCCACTATTAAACAACTTTTTGTGTAGAACAACCTGGCCAAGGGAAATCCAATTTTTTAACTGCAAAGTTTTGAAGTCTAAACACAGAGGAGGTATCTTTAATATCAATCTAGTGTCTAAAAATTTGTGGCTAAATATAAAATGCACACTTGATCTCAAAGATTCAGTATAAAAATATCTTTAAAATATCTCATTACTTGGATGTGGTGACATGTGCCTTAATCCTAGCACTTTAGGGGCTGAGGCAGGAGGATCATTGCAAGTTCAGGACCAGCCTGGGCTACAAAGTGAGACTTTGTCTCAAAAAGACCAAAAAAGAAAAAAAAAAAGTATTTGGGTCCTGATTCCATGCTAAGATGATGACATTTTTATACATGGGGGTTAATAAAATGGGATATAAAAATTAGTACCACTTGACTTCCTTTTTACTTTTTAAAATGTGGCTGCTGGAAAATTTAAGGTGACACACACATAGCTGACACTCTCCTCCCTGCCCTCCTTGGCCTGGGCTGTGGCCGTAGGGGGAAGTGGCCTTGAGCACACATAGCAACACTGAAACTCCACTGAGATGTTAGTGACAACCCCAGCTGTCTCTCACCATGGGCACAGCTGGGACTGGACCAACGCTACCAGGTGGCCTTAATGGGCAGAAACAAGAACAATGTTGGGAAGCATTGAGGGGCACCCAGGGTGGCCAGGCCCGGGGAGCAGGCCCTGGGGAGGGGACACACACCAGGTAAGATCTTACTTGGAGACCATTTCCAAATTGCGGCAAGGCCATACTGCAAAGCAGAAAGGGGTCGTTTTAGTTAAGCTTGAATCTGAGGGTGCCCAGCGAGAAGGATATTTCAGAGAAGATCCCTACAATTCTTCTTCAAGCAGATGGGCTGATCCCAGGATGGGCACCCCGGGGTGCTGCTGCAGGAAAAAGGCAGGCGGAGGCAGAAGTCAGGCTGGAGTTTTGGCAGCTGTGCTGTGCTGGAAAGTCAGAAGTCGAAGTCTAACTTGGTAGGGTGGGGTGGGAGCTCTGATGAATGCCACTGATTTGAGGGGGCATCACCACGAACCGCTGCCTGGTTCTAGCAGCGCCCAGGAACGAAAAGGACTCGGCCCACAGGCACGTCAGGTGAGAGGAAGAGGGGATGCCTGGCGAGGTCCCACCAGGCCCCGCAGAGTCTTTCCAGACGTTGGAGCCATCCATCCCGGCCTTTAGGGGCTCTCAGCTCTCACTGCCAGTTCCCAACCCTGCCAAGGTGCCACCCTGCCCTGCGCTGGCTCTGCAAGGCCGGCAGTCCCTGTGCCTGCACCCCTGTTCTAAGGACAGGTGGGGACGACTGGTGCATTTTCCTAACTGGTTACCACGCCTCACGTCTCGTGAGCTGAGCTCACAGTTTCAACTTAGGAAGCAGCGTGTTTGTTGCCACGGAGTGAGCTGGGATCACACACAAATGCACACACGGAGAGGAAGAGCGGCTGTCCACAGCTACGCATGCGCAGAGAGCCCAGGCCGCATGGGACAGCCCAGGCATAAGTTCCGCGCCAACCCTTCTCATTTCTTCCCCACCCACCTCCCTGAGCTCCAGAGGAAGAGCGGAGAGGGAGCCGGCTGGTCCACTAGACATCTTTTTTTGGTCTTTTTGAGACTGCATCTTGCTATGCCTTTCAGGCTGGCCTTGGGCTCACTTCATAGCCCAGGCTGGTCTTGAACTTTCAGTGATCCTCCTGCCTCAGCCTCCGAGTGCTGGGATTACAGGCATTTGCCTGACGGAACAGAACATTTTTGGAAAAACTACTTTGGTTTTCCAATTCGGGTGATCATCTCCCACAGACTTCCTCGTTTGTTTCTTTGGTTTCCGCCCAACATTTTCTTTTCTTTTTTTTTTTTTTTTTTTTTTTTACCGGTACCGGGGATCGAACTCATGACCACCAGTGCTTGCAAGGCAGGAGCTTATGCCTCTGGGCTAAATCCCCAGCCCCTCGCCCAACATTTTCGATTGCATAATTCAGCCAACAAAAGACACTGAGCAAGCACTACAAATTTATGCCTATTTGCCATTTATACATATTCATGCAAATCACTGAAATACATTAGCATGTGTTGTAAACATTTTAAAATACTACATTTTAAAGAAAAGTTAAGCGCACCTTTTAGGCCCCCCCCTACTCCCCGCAGCGCTGTGCTGTGAGAACCCAGGTTTCCACCGGAAGCCTCCGCAGGCTCAGCTCAGAGGGTCTCCAGCTTTGCTAATGAGGTGGCCTGAGGGGCTCAACAAGATTTCTGCAAGGCAGAGGGGGGAGTCTAACCACTGTGGACTGCACTGTCCAGAATCAGCAGCACTGCAGGAGTCCTCTGCAGGGAAGTTAAGTTTTCTCACCGTTTTCACACAACCACGTTGGGTAGCTTGGGCCCAAGGACTGCACCACACAGCCGCAGCCGCAGCCACAGCCACAGCCGCCACCTCAGTTTGCTTCTGAACTGTTTGCTGCCTTCCCCAAACCCACCCCAGATGGATCAGGTATCTGATTTCCGGCTCCCTGGCCCCAGGACCACCTACCCATTTCCTGTCGTGGGCACCTAGGCTGCAGCAGTGGACTCCCCGGGTCAGTTTTCTCCTCATCCAGCGTCACGCTGTGACGCCCCACGGGACTGTGAAAGCCACCACCAATCCTACCAGGATTAGAAGGAGGCAGCAGCAGCCACTGCAGCCACAGCACGGGGGCCTGCACCTACAATCCGGAGACTCGCTATAGATGGGGGGCATCAGGACCCTGCTGTCCACTGAGCTAGTGGCTCGCCCCCTTTGGTCCCAAGAAGAGCAGCCCCTGTCCCACGTGGACCTGGCAGGCCTGGGGGCTGGAGGTGAAGGCCGCATCTCTCCCGTGGTCACCCTGGTATCCCAGGCCACGCCTGCTGTTGTTCTGCTGTCTATGGGGGGAGACTCTTGGGCAGCCAGCCAGGTGTACACTTTGTCCTCCGTGCTGGGAAGGCTATGGACCTTGGGGGTCCCTATTAATGTGGGCATTACATTTTCCGTTGGGTGCCTTGGAGCAGCTAATGGTTTGGGGGTGTGGCTGACCTTGAACTCAGTTTTGGCCAGGCAAGGGACTTTGGGGGTTGCTATTAATATGGGTGTTACATCTTCAATGGAGTATTTTGGAACAGCTGATTTTGGGGTGTGGTTGACCTTGGACCCAGTTTTGGCAAGGTTAGGGACTTCGGGGGTTGTTATTAATATGGGTGTTACATCTTCAGTTGAGTATTTTGGAACAGCTGATTTTGGGGTGTGGTTGACCTTGGACCCAGTTTTGACAAGGTTAGGGACTTTGGGGGTCACTGTTAATGTGGGTGTCACCTCTTTGGTGGGGTGTCTTGGAGCGGCTGATGGTTTTGGGGCATGGCTGACCTTGGACTCAGCTTTGGGAGGGTTCTGGTCCTTGGGTGTCACCGCTGACACAAGGAGCTTGTCCATCTTGGGGGGTGGTGAGCAGGGGTGGTGGCCATCAGCAGTAGTGACTCTAGACATCCCAGTGTCCTTGGACAGGGTGGACAGTGAGGGGGGCACTGATGGCTTTGAGGCCAGCCTCCCCCCACCCTGGGCACAGAAGCCCTGCAAACAGGCCTCGCAGTGGAGACTGTCGTGCGGCCCTTCCAGGTTCACATCCTTGACGGCGTGCAGCTCCTCCATCTGCTTAAAGCCCTCTCGGTAGCATTTCTTCAGGATGCGGAACACCAGGTTGGTCAGGACCCTCCTGATGTTCTCCAGCGTGAACTCAGGAACCTCAAAGCGGGTCAGCAGGCACCTCTTACAGCTTTGCGAGAAGACCCTCATCTTCACCTGGCCCCGGCCCTGCTTCCCGCTCCAGTGCACATGGAAGAGCACCTGGACGTGGGCAGAGGCCCAAGTGCGGAAGCAGGAGGAACAGCGGAACCTGCGGGCACAGAAGACGAGGGCGTCAGACCCAGCAGTGCAGGCTGGTGGCAGAATGGAGCTGTGAGTCCCTTTCCTCCCCTGCGACCTGTAGGTGTCCCCAGGACAGCAGCAAGTCATGCAGGCCGGGGCGGGGACCTTCAGGTGCCTTCTGCATCCAGCCTGCTTGCTGCAGAGATGAGGCGCACTGGGTTCTCCGCACGCCTCCCAGCCCAGTGAGTGCCAGCGGCAGTACTGGGGTTCCAGGATCTGGACCCTGAGACCAGCTTCCTTCATGTACACTGAAGCCTGTCGAAGCCTGTAAGTACAACAGCTCCCCTAAAATCCTGCACTGAAATCCATGAGTGGATGCTATTTAATCAGAGCCACACAGGAGAGAGGCAGCCCGATAGGTCCTGTGCTGCCCTGGGGTGCTCAGAGCTCCCGACCTGAGCACCCCCGACAATCACTGTCTCTAGCTTTTTGTTCCGCTGCTCCCTGCCCTCCTTCTGTGTGCTGTGTTCAAGGTGGCAGTAAATTTGTCATTCTGAATGCCTTGACCTCCAGCTGGGCATGAGGAGGGCCCAGTTTTCTGGGCTAAGATATCTAAGGAGCTGACTGGACAGTGGAGAAAGAGGACAGCACCGGGGAGGAACCACAGGAGTGGCGGAGATGTGGGATGGTCACAGAGTGACCCACACTCTCCTCCCACTTGGAGTTAGGTTGGAGTCATGGGATCAGCTGGCCAGCAGGGAGTGGGCAGCAGTGATCTGGGTTTTTCCGAAGATTCTCCAGCTGTCTCTCCCGCTGCCTCCATGCTCCTGAGTGCTCTGTGCTGGGTTCGTCCTGGGCTGAGCCCAGTCTTGCTTCATTGCAGGCAGGGACCTCATTGCCTGTGACAGAGTTGGTGGGGCCTGCAGAGCACATCTTGAGCCTGGCTGTGCTGCAGGTAAGGAAGCACCCAGGGGGAGCTGCCGAGCCACCCCAGAGCTCTGTCCCAGCTGGGACTCAATACTTCTGCTCCATGACACACCAGTCCTGAGTTTTAAAGTCTCACAAATAAACACATGGAGACTTGGCTGTGGGGCTCCTGATGGCAGCCCCTGGCCTGGGAAAGCTCTGCCCTTCTTTCACTTTGACCTCTCCAGAAAGGGCAGCAGGCAGAATGGACCTGAGGCCTCCACCCTCCATACCCTTCTACCCCCACCTGAGAAAAGGCAGGCGACATGCTGTGGAACTCTGAGTCTATTTCACAAAGGTTCTGTTGCTCAGGAAGGGCAGTTTCGAGGTACTTGGTGCCCTGTTCCTCCAGCCTTTCCCCAAGGTCTCCTCTATACAGGGTCTTTTCCAGGGTCCCCTGGTGGACTTGGGGTCCCACAGCCAGAGAATGCAGCAGCCTCAAGTGAGCGTCCATCCCCTTCCATCCTGTCCCTGCCCCGGCAATGGGTTCCTTCCTTCCTGTCCCCAGCATGTAACCTGTACCGGGTGTGCACAGTGAGACAGTTTTTGGATGTGCCCCTCACCTCTCTACTCACCTGGCAAAGGTCCTCTGCTGGTACTGTGACCAGCCCTGCTGTAGGACATCAGGAAGAAGGTCCGTGTCTGTCTCCAGGGTCCACTTGTGCCATGGTTTTACCTCCCGGATTAACTCCTGGAACACTTGTTCCCACTCCTCCATGTCCTGATCGGTGGCTGCCATTGTGTGGCCAGGGTGGCCTGGGTCTCTGGGCCACGGCAGGGCTGCAGCAGCGAGGGCTCAGGCTGTTTGCTCTCCTTTGCAATGGCTGGACTCGGACTACAGACCAGCCTGTGGCCCAAGGACAAAGGTCAGTTGAGCCTGTTCCTAAGTTCACAGAGTGGTAGGAGGTTCCACAAAGAATCTCAAAAGACTCATAATTTATGGTTTCCTCTACCACAATAGCACCAAGGTAGAAGCTGTAGGATCTGTGTCCGGTGTGAGAAGGAGGATGCAGCCATCGTGGGCCCTCGGGGATCCCCAGATCACTGTATCAGGCCCAGACTCAGGAAGACAGTATCCGGTGGTCCCTGGGCTGTTCTGGACCCTTGGCTGTATGAAGGAGGGTGGAAACCCCCAACCATGTCTTTCTGCAGCAGTCAGAGTGTGGGCAGGGGACGAGCACTACGTCCCCAGGCCAGTGGCTGGCCAGGGGCACCCTCCCTGTGCAGAGGGGCTTTCCGATCATTCCATTTCAGCAGCGGCAGAAAAGGAAAAGGCAGAGGAAGTGGCAGAGCTGAAGCTGGCCACGCCCCTAGGAAAGCAGCAAGATTCCGCGTGTCCACACCACAAGGGCCCGTCCTGGGCAGGGTGGGTCCTCCTGTCCCTTGGTCACACTGACCTGCGCCCCTGGCTACTTTCCAGGAGGAAAGCCCCACCCTCCCCTGAGCGGAGGAAGGAAGGGAAGGGGACTTTCTGTTCCCTTTGGCAACCGAGTCTCTTTCCCCTCCATTGATCTGTTCCCCATCTGTCCTGGAGGCCAGTGATTGCTGTCCAGTTCCCTGCCCGCCCCCACCCCTGCCCCCAGTAACGCAGTTTCTTAACTGTGTTTGCTTGGTTATAAATTAACTACATTTGGGGAGCCCTCTCCATGTCTCCCTTCTGGGTTATTTTTCCCCTTTCAAAATGTCCTCTTCTGTGCTGCCTCCATCTGCTCTCTGCTCTATTTCATCTCGCAACAGGCACGGCTTCCTCCGCGCTGGCCTTTGCCGCCCCCCCCCCCGCCCCTTCCTTGTGTGTTTTGCGGGTGGCGAGTGTCTAACAAGGTCTAATGCAGATGCAAGGCTGATGCTCAAACAGGTTCCACAGAGCACAGCGCAGCGACTTGTCTCCCAGGAGGATGTGCACGCCAGGTAAGCCATGTAAGCCCTCAGGGCCTCGTGAGCCTCGCTCAAGCGGGGTTTGCGCTGCAGGCTATGAGTTCAAGGTTGAACTAATGGTATGTTCTGACCAGAGAGTCTTTCAGAAGAAACAACCTGAGGTCATGGTTTGATCAGGTGACTGAACTATGACCAGAGTCTGGTGGAGACGAACTCTGTTTCCCTTAGGAGAATGGCTGGGGATCCAGACAGCCTTATAAGAGAGTCAGGGGAACAGCGACAGTTGGGTTCGTCTGCCTTTGTCCACAAGCTCCTGGTGCAGCGAGCTAGTGGTCCTAGATCCTCCAGGGTCCCTGGGCCCTCTGCCATCTTCTGTCTCACATCTATGTCCCAAGGCCAAAAATCAAAGTTCCACTCTTTTCACCTGCCAGGCGCCTAAGTGGGTGGTTAGGAACTGCTACGGATCTCCTCAAAGAGGGAGCTGGGAGTTGAACCCCAAAGCGTAGCCCTACATGAGACACAGCAGCACCCCAGGAACAGAGGCACTCCCCAGGCTGTGACATTATCACTGCCAGACACAGAACCAATCAGCAAAATTCTATTTTCAATTCTGGATTAGAGAGCCAATCAGAAGATGAGTTTTTCAACCCCTCATTTGCATGTGGGCACAGCCAATCGAAAGGCATAATTCCTGATCCCTCATTAGCATCCACCAGGAAGTCAAGGAAGCTTCTTTTTTTTTTGTACTGGGAATCGAACTCACCTAGCGCTTGCCAGGCAAGGGCTTACACAACTGAGCTAAATCCCCAGCCCCAAGCAAGTTTCTTGATGGGACAGTTTGCAGATAGCCTGAGGCCAAATGAGTGACAGCTGTCACTCAATTGGGACAGCTGTCCCAGTGCCTTATTTACAGGAGAGGGAGATAACCTGCGAATCTTGGACGCAAAAGACCCCTCTCCCTTATCAGCAGAGCAGCTGTAAGCCTTTTCACCGCTGCCTTCACTCTGCAGAGCAAACGTCTTTCCCGCCTTCCTCTAATGTACACCCTTGCTGCCTCTCCTGTGGGTATTGTCCAGTTCTGGGTTCAGGCCCCCGAGACCCTGGAAAAAAGCCTCTGGGATCTCCACAGCACTGGGAATGTGGGTCGTTGCAGATGCCCTGGAGGTTCTTGAGTTAAGTTTGGGTGACCTGAAGTTTCTACACCCGAAGGTGGATGAAATGCAGAGTATTTTTTTTTTTTTTTACCCACTTACAGATTGGAACTAGAGTAGGTTACCAGGTGGGACTTCTCAGTATCTGGGGTCAGAGGACAGCAGGTGATAAGAACTCTGTGTGCAAGTGATGTAGGGTTATCTGGGATCCGAAATCAGTAATTTGAACAATTCTGAGGGCTCTGGGTAAGGACTTGTCCCTACTTGTCCTATGCCTGGCCCTGATGTTACCAGAGGTCTGGGGGCTTGCCCAGGTTTCTGATGTCCCAAGCAAAGAATTGAACAGGACATCCAAGAATAGCAACAAGATCAGAGACTTATTTGAAGGAGAAAAGACACGATTCACTCAGCAGAGTAGGTGCTGGCCTGGGGAGGCCTGGAGGTTGAGTCTGAGGTGCAGCCCCCACCAATGAGTGGCCTGAACAGCTCCTCGACAGGGTGGTGGAGTTTTCCACCTTCTGTGGCCCATGGAGGAACTGTCATGGTGCCCACAGACCACGGGGGTTGGGGCGGCCAAGGTTGCAGATTTCAGGAGAAGGGGGTAGAGAGTCTTCATTGCTTCACATGGGAGCTGTGTTTTTCCATTGCACTTGGACTTGCTTGTTCTGGGCCAGCGTTTACATGGATCCTGTCCAGAAAGTCTCCCTTCTTTCTTAGGCTTTGCCTTGGCTGCCTCCTGGGCTCAGGAGGAGCGCTGGGAGAGGAGCCAATCAGCTGCTCCAGAGGAGGAACTCACCTACCCCTACCCGGGCTCAAAACTGGGTCAAAATGCAGTAAAAAAGACACCATATTACAGGACATCTGGTCTGTGGCCCGGCCCAAGCCCACTGACAGAGACACTGAGTAGAAGGAGGGTCCTGGTTTTTAGGACTCCCATCCACAGACCTGGCATAGCTCTCTTCTGGGATCCTTGCTAAATGTCTATTATGAAGTTAATGTTTCCATAAAAACTTTCCATGTCTTTTGTGAGATTTATTTTTAGGTCCTTTCTTCTTTAATTATCGTTATTATAAAATGTTCTTAATTTTTTTGTCATTTCCTAAGTTCTGTCGTGTCTACAAAACACACATGACTTTGGAGTTAGCGTCTTCTGAAGCATCTACTGGGCCCATTTAAAGTCCCCTGAACAGGTCAGTCAGGTTGTGCAAAGGAAACAAAAGCTAGGATGCCTACTTAAATTTGCATTTCGGGTAAGTGACAAATCAATTTTTAGTATATGATACCCATTTTAGTGTTAGACACTTGTATGAAATATTATTGAGCCAGGCATGGTGGTGCACATCTGTAATCGCAGCACTAAGGAAGGCTGAGGCAGGAGGAGGGCAACTTCCAGCCTGAGCATTAGCAGCTTGGTGAGACCCCCTCAGGCAGTCAGGAACCAGAGTGCGGTGTCCAGGGAGGTCAAGGGCTCCTAGCCTTGAGCCTGCGGGTGCTGGCAGGAGGTGCGGGCAGCTGGATACATGGGCCTTGAGAGTGCAGGCCAGGCAAGGCTTAGAGAGAGATGTGGACACTGGGCAGGCATAAGGCACGCTGCTCCAGCCTCCCAGGGTGCCCGGATGGGTTGCAGTCCTGTCAGTCAGCACAATCAGCCCTTGGGAAGGCGAGTCCTTCCCTGGCCACTGCAGGCTCCCGCGTGCTCTTTCCTCTTGCGAAGGCTCTCTAGCGCCCTCTACCGATAAATCTTAGCGTCGTGCTCCCAGCAGAGGACATCCGCCTGGAGCATTTTGCACCCGCCCAAACACAGTAGTGCCCCAAGCGGCTACCGCAGTTACAACGTCCCTAGGTGATACAAAAAGTTCAGCTCGGTTACAATCTCCTGGGACCACAGAGGCAGCCCGCGAGGCCCATTGTTGACGGAACTGTTTCTGCGATGCATGAATACATTTTACTGCAGTGCATAGCTGGAGCCAGGATGCAGTGCATTGGTAAAAGGAAGCAAAGCTTATTACAGATGCGTGATACACCTGCACTAATAGGGGCTGTGGAGCAGACAGTGCTCGCCCAGATGACTCTGGAAAACTGTTTTCCTTGGAAATTCTTACAGTTGGTAAACTTACTTCCATGGGGGTGCAGGGTAGGGATCTCAGGCTGTGTCACAGGAGGAACGGGGTTGAGGGGTGGAACATATACTAACTGAATGCCAGCTGGTGGGCCACGTTGTGTACAACTGCCAGAGAAGAAAAAAGCAAGCGAAGAAGCTTGGGGTAAATTCTGAAACCTCAGATGAAGCTCAGTACTCCACAACACACTAGGGGCAAGGCAGACCTGTGTAGACTTAGCGTACACACACATTGCCTGGTCTGTAACACCGAGGGGCCAGCAGCCTCAGCACTGCTGTAATAATAATCACTAAGTACTATGCTCTATAAGGAACTGAAGGCTTCCGGGGGGAAGTGGCTGATTCTAGGGCTGGGGCAGGGAGAAGAGAACAGCCGGGAGCATTTGGTATACCAGAAAGAGAAGAAGTTGCTCAAGAAACAAAAAGATGTAACATGTCCAAAGGCCAGGAGCCAATCAGAAGGAGCTCCTGAATGCCAAAGCTAAAGTGGTCTGAACAATAAAATAAATTAGGCCGCACTGACTTATAGCCCAGTGTATACAGTAAGTATACACCAGTCAATATGGATATAAGTCGATAAATAATAGAACACACAGAGAAAGACAAATCTTTGCAGAAAATTCCAAATAATATAGTAGATAGTTCTCCTTTTAGGAAGTGAGGTTTAGTTTGGCTCCTGGCACCCTCCTCCCAGGTGAGACAGACTCCCTTCCATAGACAAGAACACAGAAATATGATCACAGAAGCTTGGTAGCAGAGGAAGCAGGAAGACAACACCTTAACCCGGGTGTCCTGATTGTTTCCCTTGTTGCTGCAACAAATACCTGACACCCACAGCATAAGGAAGGAGAGATTTATTTTAGCTCATGTTCCCATCCATGGTCAGCTGGTTCCAAGGCAGGATGACATGGCAGAGGGGATTGGTGTAGGAAAGCTGCTCACAGCATGGCAGACAGGAAACAGAATCAGTGGAGATCCAGGGAGGAGAGAAACTCTTCTGGGTCACATTCACAGTGACCTGCCTCTCCCAACCAGGCCCCACCTCCTAAACAGGAAGTCAGCTCTTAGCCTCCATGATCCAATCACATTCTGGAAGACCCGCCCATGATCCCAGGAGGCTCTGGGGGAGATCTAGATGTAAACCATAGCACCGGGGAGGAAGATGCACACTGTGACAGGAAGGGGGCTTCACCTCTGTGATATTCATGCCCCCAACCTGTAGGCTTAACTCAATCATGAGAA